CTTGCTTGCCTCTTGGTTTTTTTTATATCACAAAGACATTGACTTAAAACACAGTCTACTCTAACACTGCCTCATTAACATAACAAATAACCCCCTTCCTAAATGGCAGTATAGTAACAAATATAAAACCAAACTAAACCAATTTCAGGGCCATTCCATTGATTCTAACTCATATCAACCTTATATAGGGTTTTTGAGATTGTAAATCTTAATGGGTGCAGACAGCTATCTCCCATGGAGCAGCAGGTGGGTTTGAACTGCTGACTTTGCAGTGAGCATTTCTAGAATTTGCAACACATTCTCTTTGGAAACAAAATTTGCTTCATAATAGGTACTTTGCATTTGTTGTGGTGCTTATTTCTGAGTAAATTTTCACTTATGGTGACTCCCTGTGTGATAAGTTAAATGTTCCCCAGGGTTTTTGGAAGCAGATTGCCAAGCTTGTCTTTTTTGATACTTCTGGTTGAGTGTGAACACCAACCATTTGGCTAGTAAAAGAGCACTTAACCACTTGTGCCTCCCAAGGGCCTGTTTTTTGTTTAGCTGTTGTTTTTGGTGGTATGGACTATTACTGTGTTTGTTAATTTGATTATGTAGCAACATATTTTCCCTGTTTATATTCAGGTTCTTTACTACCTATCATTCCCATATGGTGTCCTGAGTGATGCTGTCAGATAAGCATTGGACTGCTAACTATAAGGTTAGTAGTTCAAACTCACCAGCTGTTCCTCAGAAACCCTATACAGGATTGTTATGAATTAGCACCAACTTGATGAGTCAGAACCAACTTGATGGGACTTATCACCATAACAATCACATTTGAATGAATTATATTACATTGTTTTTGTTTAGTGCCTTCCAGTCAGTTCTGGTTCATACTGACCCAAGATAGGGTTTCCAAGTAGCAGCTGATGGATTTGAACTGCCAGCCTTGTGATTAAAACTGACCATACAGCCCAGTACATATCCTATAGTGCCACAACATGACTCCGTTATCACATTGTTGTTGTTAAATGCAATCGAGTTGGTTATGACCCATAGCGACCCTGTATAGGGTTTCCAAGGAGACGCTGGTGAGCTTGAACCACCAACCTTGCAGTTCAAATGACTTTGCAGTCTGGCGCATTAACCCACAGCGCCACACCAGGACTCCTATCACATTAGAGATACACATATTATAGCAGAACAGATGCAAGAAGAAAAGTATGGTTAGATTCAGATTTGTAAAAGCCAGCTTTAGTAAGTGGTAAAACTTCAGATTTTAGAGACCTTTGACATCTAAGTAATGTGAGTAGTTTGAACTATACCGGTAACAGTGATTATAAATATAGACATATGTCCAACATTAAAAATCTCTATAAAAGAATAAAAAGGTATTAATTAGAGAATGACCCTCTAAGTCAATGCCTCCTAAATTCTGAATTTTAGTACTTAACATCCCTGAAAAAAGTGGAGGAGGAAAATGTTATGAAACAGGAAGCTGGAAATAAAACCTAATTACATATGTAAGAATAGATTTGAAAAGTCAAAGTTCTCTATTTTCATGTGTATTTTCCAATCTGTACTGCATATGCCCAAACTAGGACTGATATGAGTATGGAAATAAATATGGAAGAAAAGGAAAGTTTAAGAAAACAAAACATTTTGGAAGTCAACGTCAGCAATTTCAACTTGAAAAGATAATGACTATCTTGCTTACATAGGTTTAGGAAATAGATGTAAATATTATCTGACCTCCAAAATATATTAGTAACACAGCATGACACAGCCCATGCTTTATATTGATATTTTATTAAGTAGGAATAATAGCTTGCACTTTAAATAATAGCTGATTTTCCAAATCAGTGTTGCCCAATAGAAAATAATAAAACCACAAAGGTGAACTGAATATAGAATTCTAATTTTCTATTTAAAAAAATAAGTGAAATTAATTTCAATAATATACTTTATTTGAGCTATTATATTCACAATATTGTCAATAAATAAAGGAAATTTTAATACTGAGATATTTCACTTTCTTCTTTTATGTACATAGTACTGCTGATAAATGTGCAAAGGGCACTGCACTCAGCTATGTTGTTGTTACGTGCTGTGGAGTCGGTTCTGACTCATAGCAACCCGGTACAGAGTTTTTGAGGCTGTAAATCTTTACAGGAGCAGAAATCGTCATCTTTCTCCCATAGAACAGTTGGTAGTTTTGAACTGCTGACCGTGAGATTAGCAAACTGATTCATAACCACTACGCTACCAGAGCTCCTTGCACTCAACTATAAGCACCAGTTACCAACAAGCTTTGCGGGTCAGCACACCTACTCTCTCAGTTTAGTACCTAGAGGCACCCTCCTCCACAAGTGAGCCTCCTGTCTAAAGTCACTTAACTTTTTCTTGGTCCATAGACAGAGAATGAACCAACTACTCTGTGTGATGTTCAGGCTCTTGGTTCTACTACTACTACTCCTCTGCCATTACTCAGATACTCCTCCAGTATCACAGCTTTCTGTCCTTGGGAAAAGGAGGTTGAATGCCCAGAAAACTCAGTGTCCAAAGGATGCTTTCCACTCCTGATTCTTTTTCCCTTTATAGTAGGGAGAGTCCCTTTCCTGCTTCTGAGATGGTTCATTTAAAGCTAAATTAAAGTTCCAAGTTTTTGCAATCACAATTAATCTTGTTAACAGTCACTCACAACTGAATCATATAATCCTATCAACATTATTCCTTACCTTCTCTTACACAGACTTATCAGGAAAAAAAGTAGTTTGGTGGGAATTTCAAGAGCTATGACTAGAAGAGGTATATTAAATAATTCACTGCATTGCAGTTACCAAAATGCTTGTATTTTTTAATGTTTTTTGGTAGCATTTTGCAATTGCAATTAGAAAACATTGGCTATAATTTTTCTGTATACGTTTTAAGAACAATTCATTATGTTTTAGGCCATACCATGATGTGCAAAAGTAAAAGTAAGGTGGGAGGAGCAAACAAACGCTTATTATTGTAATTTTTTTCCTATTAATTTAAGGGGCAGAATTAGTTACGTGCTCAGCTACCAACCAAATGGTTTGATGTTTGAATCCACCCAGTTGCTCTATGGGAAAAAGACCTGGCAATCTATTTCTATTAAGATTAGTGTTGTTGTTGGCTGCCAGTGAGTGAGTTCTGACTCATAGAACAACCCTGTGCCCAACCAATCAAAATACTGACTGGTCCTGTGCCTTCCTCACAATTATGGTTTTGTTGGAACTCATTGTGACTGCATCTGTCAATCAATCTCATTGGAGCTAGTCATCTCTTTTACTTAGCCTCCACTTTACCGTGTATGATGTTCTTTTTGAGGGATAAGTGATTCCTCCTGATATCATGTCTCAAGTATGAGAAAAGATTGTTGGTGGTAGTGGTGTTTGGTGTTGTTGAGTCAGTATCAACATAGTGAAATTATGTACAAGCTAACCAAACAATGTCTGGTCCTATGCCAATCTCATAATTGTTGCTATGCTTGAGCTGATTGCTGTTACCATTCTGCCAATCTGTCTAGTTGGGAGGCTTTCCTCTTTTTCACTGATCCTCCACTTTACCAAGCATGTTGTCCTTCTCCAGCAACATATCCCTCCCTGATAATATATCTGAAGTATAAGAGATGAAGTTTGACCAACTTTGCTTCTAAGGAGCATTCTGGCTATACTTCTTCCAGCACAGATTTGTTTATTCTTCTAGAGTCTATGGTACTTTTAATATTCTCCTCGAACACCATGACTCAGATGCATCAGTTCTTCTACAGTCTTCCTTATTTATTGTCCAACTTGGCCTGGAACACCATATGGGACAATTGTACTTTTCCACATATGGTCCCTATGAATTGAAAATAGACTCAATGGAACTGACAGCAACATTTAAAAACTATATACCATATCCTATCAGGTAATAGATTAATGCATTAAAGGATGTGAATATTTTTATTTTAACAATCTGTGGCTTGTAACATGTTAACAACATGCTGTTGTTGTTTTTGGGTGCCTTGGAGTTGGTTTCAACTCACAGCAACCCTATGCACAATAGAACGAAACACTACTCAATCCTGTACCGTCCTTACAATTGTTGTTGTGTTTGAGCCCATTATTGTAGACACTGTGTCAATCCATCTCGTTGGGGAGTCAATGACCTTCTACTTTACTAATCATGATGTTCTTTTCTAGCATGTCCTAAACACATGAGACAAAGTCTCACAATCCTCACTTATAAGTAGCATTTGGGCTATATTTCTTCCAAGATAGATTTATTTGTTCTTCTAACATTCCACAGTCCTTTCAATATTCTCAGTAAACCATAATTCAAATGTTTGATTCTTTGCTAGTCTTCCTTATTATTATTATTATTACTACTCATTTATTTGTCTATCTTTTGTGTGTTTGTATATGTTATAATTAAATAATATATTCAATCTGTACTTGTTCAGTCCTAATGCACACACAGTCACAAAGAAAGTAAACAATACCAATACAGAGTTATTCCGCTCAAAATGATACTAACACCAAAGTTAAAGTTCATTTTAAATATAGAAACACGTGCTTTACCCTTCTTGTTGTTTCTGTTGTTAAGTGCCATAGAGTCGGTTCCGACTCATAGCTATCCTGTCTAGAGTTTTCACGGAGTGACTGGTGGGTTTGAACTGCTGACCCTGCAGCTCAAACTGACCTTGCATTATAGTGCATTATCCAGCAGTGCTACACTATTACCCTTATAATAATTATTAAATAAAACATGATTGCTTCTGCTCATAATATAGGTTTTGCTTAATTGAAACTAATTTTTTGAAGTCTGTAAACAATCAATGTAATCCATCCAAGTTGACAGACTGAATGAACAGCAGTGACTTTTTAACAATGTAATTCTCTTAAAAGTGTTCCCTCTTTTTCTTTAAATGTTGGCAGATATAATGAAACTTTGAATGAACAGTATCATGCACTTTTTTTAATTTAACGTATCTTTCTAAATTTATTTCATAGGTCCCTTTAGATGGAATATAATACAGCTGAGGTCTTTTCATCAGAAGGATTAATGCCTGCATTATCATTTCTGCAATAAATAAGAAGCTAAGTGGTGGAGGCTACAGACATCTCAAACCTGGATTCCACAATTCTACACTAAGTGTTGGGGTTCTTATTGCTATTGCTCTGCTGTAGGAAAGCCTTTGCCAATGCTTACAAGGAACTGCTTATCCCTCCTTCTCTGGGTCCTGTTTGATGGAGGTCTCCTAATACCACTTCAACCCCAGCCACTACAGACTTTAGCAACAGAACCAAGAGAAAATGTTATCCGCCTGCCAGGCCGGCGTACTCATTTCCACCGAGTTAAACGTGGCTGGGTATGGAATCAATTTTTTGTGCTGGAAGAATACATGGGCTCCGAACCTCAGTATGTGGGAAAGGTAATACCATGTTTCTTTTGACAACCAGTTGATAACAAGGGTGAATATGCATTGATGCATTGTATATTTGTATGAATGGTTTGCACAGGAATTGAAGAAACCAGTGCCTAAAACACTGGAATTTCAATCCAAGAGACTTGGTTTCTCTTCCTGACTCTATCATCCAGGTAACCTTTGGAAAACTATTTACCCCATATTTGTTTCAATTTCTACCTGATTATTTTAATGCAAATAGTTTATATTTTGCTCCCATCTATGACATTCATTGAAGGCATGAATCCAAACTATGTAAATAGTGTTCTAGTGCATTATTTCTCATAGGCATTCTAGAATTATTAAGCAACAGGAGACAAAAAAAAAAAAAAAAAAAATCAACAGGCATAAATATTTTATACTAATATCATTGTCCTTGAATGACCAAGGATGCCTCTCTCTATCACCTCATTGAAAACATGACATACCATTGGGATTGAGTTCTAAAACATGATTTTGCTTCTTTATACTTTATAAATAGTTTCTTCATTATACGTTTGAAAGCTATTTATGGCCAAAACAATGTGTTGGAAGTCAAATATGTACATTTTTTATTTCCAACACAGCATATAATATTTACATTTAATCACAAGTTTAGGGAAAATTCCTTTTGTTTTCCTCCCAAAATAGTTGATGAAAGCCTGTTTCAGCACATTTTTGTTTAGATGCTTGTTTTCTTACAGAAAAATTTTGATCCTTCTGAGAATCCTTTCTCCAAATTCATTCTATTTGAATTTTGTTAACTTTTGTTTTTAATTTCCAAATATTGCCATAGATATTAATGGAAGCATATATACTTTTAGAAAGATACAAAGAAAACCAAAGAGAGAAATGGAAAACTATAGGAAGAAGAGTATTAAGAAGGTGATTTAAGAAGCCCTGGTGGTACTGTAGGGTAAGCACTGGTCTGCTAATGGCAAGGTCAGCTGTTGAAATGCACCAGCTGCTCAGTGGGAGAAAGATGAGGCCATCTGCTTCCATAAAGATTTACACTTACAAACCCTAAACACTGTGAGTCAGAATCAACCTGTTCTCAATGGGTTTGATTTTAGAGAAGATTTTATCTCTTGCTCATTAAAAACCTCAGAGCTTTCTGACAGACTAAGATAAAAAATAATTTGATAATATAAGGAGCTCTGGTAGCGTAGTGGTTATGAATCGGGCTGCAAACCCAAGGTCAGCAGTTGAAACTACCAGCCGCTCCTCGGGAGAAAGATGAGGCTTTCTACTCCTGTAAAGATTTACACCCTCGGAAACCCTGTACAGGGTCGCTATGGGTCGGAACCAACTCGACGGCACTTAACAACAACAACAACAATGATTCAAATATTAGATCAAATAAATCATTTTCTTTTCAGATCTAAATTCTTTTCACTGCAGTTTTTAAAATATATCTTGTGAAATTTTATTTAAAGAGTAGCAAATAATATTGTAGAGAAAATCTTCATTCATAGTTTTATTGACTATTAGGCAAGTTTGCTGCTAGGATATATGGAGCTCTGTGGAAATATATACATATACATTTGTGTTTTGTTTTTTTTTCTGACTGTATTTACCTTTATAAAGTATTTGGGCTAATCAATACTGGTCTCCAACGCTTGTCTGTTAGTTTCTCATTCTGTGGTGGCTTGCAGGTTGCTGGGATTCTGGAAGCTATGCCAATGGTATTTTTAATACCAGCAGGGTCAACCATGGTGGACAGATTTCACATAACATTCCAGGCAAAGACAGATTAGGAAGAAGAAGAGACAACTACTTCCAAATATTTATGCACTGAAAGCCTTACGAATTGCAGTGCAACACTGTCAGATATAGTGCCAGAAGATGAGCCCCTCAGGTTGGAAAGCACTCAAAATATGTTGGGGGAAGAGCTCTCTCATCAAAGTAGAGTTGACTTTGATGACGTGAAAGGAGTACAGTCTTCAGGACCTTCATTTGCGGATGAGGCACAACTCCAAAGGAAGAGAAATAACTGTAAACATTCATTAATAATCAGAACAGGGAATGTACAAAGTATAAATCTAGAAAAATTGTAAATTGTAAAAAAATGAAATGGAACACATAAACGTTGGTATCCTAGGCATTAGTGAGCTGAAACAGATGACATTGACCATTTTGAATGTGACAATCACATGTTTTGCTACGTCAGGAATGACAAATTGTAGAGGAATGGAGTCACAATCATCATCAAAAAGAACATATCTGTCTTGGAATATGATTCTGTCTGTGATGGGATAATATTCATATACTTACAAGGAATACCAGTTAATACCACTGTTATTCAAATTTACACAACAAGACTAGTGATAAAGAAACTGAAGAATTCTACCAAATTCTTCAGTATGAAATTGATCAAATATGCAATCAAGATGTATTGATGATCATTGGTAATTGGAAAGCAAAGAGAAACAAAGAGGAAGGATCAGTGGTTGGAAAATATGACCTTGCTGATACAAATGATGCTGGATATCACATGATAGAATTTTGCAAGATCAATGACTTCTTCATTACAAATAACTTTTTAAAATAACATAACCTCATAACAACATAAACAATATAAACTTGTAAACACATGGATAGTCGCTGGAGAAGGATGTCATGCTGGGTAAGATGGAGGAACAGAGAAAAAGAGGAAGACCCCCAACGAGATGGATCAGCCAGGTGGTATCATTGATGGCATCAAGTGTGGCAGCGGTAGTGAGGTTGGCCCAGGATCAGACATTGTTTCGTTCTGCTGTGCATGGGGTCACTATGAGTCAGTTCCAACTCAGTGGCACCTGACAACAACAACAACCACATGGACCTCAACAGATGGAAAGAGATGGTGGAAAAGCTCTACATCGTTAACCAAAACAAGGCCAGGGACAGACTGTGGAAGCTAATATGCAAGTTCAGGCTGAAGCTGAAGAAAATGAAAACAAGTCCATGAGAGCTAAAACATGACCTTAAACATATCCCACCTGAATTTGCAGATTATCTGAAGAACAGATATGATGCATTAGACACAAAACACTGAACCAGAAGAGTTGTGGGATGACACCAAGAACATCAGGCAGGAAGAAAGCATAAGGTCATTAAGAAGACAAGAAAAAAGGGAAAGACCACAATGGATGTCAGAAGAGACTCTGAAACTTGCTCTTCATGCATAGAGATGATAATGAAAATGGAAGAAGTGAGGAGGTATAAGAGCTAAATAGAAAATTTCAAAGAGATGCTTGAGAAGAAAAAGTCAAATATTTTGTGTTAAATGTGCAAATAGCTGGAGGTATAAAACCAAAAGGGAAGAACACACACAACATTTCTAAAGCTGAGGGAACTTAAGAAAAAAATTCCAGCCTCACTTACCATATTGAATGATTCAGAAACTATCAAAAGAAAATGGAAGAAATACTCAAGAGTCACTGTACCAAGAAGAAATGGTCGATGTTCAACCATTTCAAGAAATAGTATATCATTAAGAGCCAATGATCATAAAGGAAGAAGTCCAACATGCATTGAAGGCATTGACAAAGAACAAGGAAGGCACTGGGAATTGATGGAATACAAATGGAAAATTTTCAACAAACTAATGAGGTGCTAGAGGCACTCACTCATCTATGCCAAGAAATTTGGAAAACAACTACCTGGCCAACTGACTGGAAAGAGATCCGTAGTTGTGCTCATTCCAAAAAAAGGTGATCCAACAGAATGTGGAAATCATCAGACAATATCATTGAAATACCATGTGAGTAAAGTTTTATTAGGGTAATACAAGAATGGTTCAAACATACATTGACAGAGAACTCCTAGACATTCAAGCTGGTTTCAGAAGAAGACGTGGAACATGGGATATCATTGCTGAAATCAGATGGATCTTGACTGAAAGCAGATAATGCCCGAAAAGTGTTTATCTTTTGTTTTATTGCTTTATTGACTATGGAAATCTTTCAATTGTGTGCATCATGACAAGCTATGGACAGCATTGTGAAGTACGAGTGTTCTGGAACACTTAATTGTGTTCATGAGGAACCTATACATAGACCAGATTACAGTTGTTCAAACAGAACAAGGGTTTAAAATTAAGAAAGGTGTGTTTCAGGATTGTATTCTTTCACCATACTTATTTAATCTGTATGCTGAGCATATAATCCTAGATGCTGAAAAATGTGCCATCAGAATTTGAAGAAGACTCATTAAGAACCTGTGATTCACAGATGATACATCTTAATTGTGGAAACTGAAGAGGACTTAAAATGATTACTGTTGCATATCAAAGACCAAAGTCTTTGATATGGCTAGCACCTCAATGTAAAGAAGACTAAAAACCTCATCACTAAATGTAAAGAAGACTAAAAACCTCATCACAAAACCAATAAAAGGCAGTCTTATCAATGGAGAAAATGTTGAAATTTTCAAAGACTTCATTTTGCTTAGATCAATCATCAAAACTCATGGAAGCAGCAGTCAAGAAACCAGATGACATATTTCATTAGGCAAATATGCTGTAAAATACCTCTTTAAAATATTCAAGAACAAAGATGTCAGTTTCAGGACTAAGGTGTGACTGACCCAAGCCATGGTATTTCCATAACCTCAAATCCATGTGAAAGTTCGACAGTGAATAAGGAATACTGTTGATGAATTGATGCATAGGAGTTATGATATTGAAAGAGAATCTTAAAATTACCATGGAGAGCCAAAAGAACAAACCAATCTGTGCTGGAAGAAACACAGCCAGAATGTTCCTTGGAAGCCAGGATGGCTAGACTTCATCTCTCTTACATTGGGCATATTGTAAAAAAGGATGAGTCCTTGGAGAAGAAGGGTATTCATGTTTGCTACCAGAGTGCCTTATGAATGAAATTAGTAAGTCACAAAAGGAGAAATACTGCATAGGACCACTACTGTAAAAGAGTAAGAACAAGAACCCATACTAAAGGGGGCAGGGGGATTCTTTGCTGGTTGCCGGGATGTGGGGGGTAGGGTGA